CTGCTTAGGAGAACGTCCAAGAACGGAAGCGAACCTGCCGTTTCCATCTCCACTGTGAACTTTATGGAGGGGTGTGCTTGGTTGGCAGTATTTAGAAGCGAGTCTAATCGAGGTAGTCAACCTTAGGGAGCTTCGTGTCGCACGCGTTGTTTCATGCTCTGGACAGTTTGATCTTTGAAGATAGGGGAGTACAAAACACATGCGACTCTAAGCCATCCCCATAATCTTCTTTGGCAGGATACCTTCCCCTTTGAACTTCCCCAAAAAAGCATAAACGCGTCTCTACGCCACATCCCACCCACTTTTATTCTTTCCTCTTGCTCATTTGCGGTGCTTTGTCCACACGCAGACAAGCTCCCTCTCGAGTTACGCACAATGCCCCTCCACGACTTCCCAAGCCTAGATGCCCTACTGGAGCGTGCAGAACGCAAATTCTTTGATATCTTCGGGGAGGCATCGACTGTGCAGGTCTTAGCGCCGGGTCGCGTGAACCTCATCGGCGAGCACACGGACTACAACCAGGGCTTTGTCCTTCCCATGGCCCTGCCGATGTTCACAATAATGGTGGCGCGTGCCTCCCCCGGCAATAAATGCAGCATCCATACCATGAATGAGGGCATTAAGGAGGAGAACACCACCGTATTTAGCCCACCCTCAGCAATGGAAATGCCCGGTGCGAAAGTGGAGAAGTGGCCGGCCTACATCCGAGGCGTCATGTCAACCTTCCAGCGTATGTCCCTTTTTTGCCATTTAGTTCTGATTTTATCCTTTCAGGCCTCGAGCGCTATCACTATTTTGAAGGAAAGGCCTTCTTTGAGAAACAAAGTAAGTTTGTGCGGTAGATGTTCGACGCTGGATCCCCAGGTCGTCTTCGTCAGGTTTGAGAAAATGTGCAGCGAAGAATTAAAATGTCAAACGTGCTAAACATTAATAGTCAGTTGTTTGTGAGCGCTTATAGGCGGCTGCCATTTTTGTCAGTCTGTATCAATCGACGCCCGTCTTTTGCATCTTTCTTTGAGATGATTGTAAATTCCATCCAACTGGATAAGCCGGTCGATTCATGGATAATTGGAGTGCATGGTTTCAAGAAATTATCGGCCCTTTCTGGAGAGAGGAGCTATTAATCGTTACTTTGCTGTAGTTGCTGGGGACAAACTCCGGCGATGCGTGTTTTGTCCCATACGGTGTGTCCTGTGTCAAAGCTATGCATAGCCACTTCGGTTAAACGGTCATGTCTCTTGACTGCTAGTTGGTGTTCGTGGATGCGTGTGGAGGTGGACCTTCCTGTTTGGCTACAGTGTACCATATTATAAGCTTCACCTGAGATCTTGTAGTCAACCCTATATTTAGGGTGTACAAGCTGGACCATGATACAGGACCAGCTTTCGTGTGGGACAAAACATGGATCGTCTGAGTTTGCCCCTCCAAAAGGGCCGAACATTTCTTGAGAACATGCACTCCGATTATTCATACGTCAACTGCCATATCGAGCCGGATGAAATGTACACACATCTCAAAGAAAGGTGAAAGAGACAGGAGCCGCTCAGTACAGACTGACGCAAATGGCAGCTGCCAATTATCACTCAAGGAACTGACTACTGATTTTTAGCACGTTTGCGATTTTAATTGTTCGTTACACATCTTCTCAAGTCTGACGAAGAGCTGGATGTCCAGTGTTGAAAATTAACTGAATAAGTGGTATATCGCATAAACTGCAAAATGTATTGGATCCATAACATTTCGGGAGCGGTCATCAGTTGCAGCCACTCCAATGCGTTAAAGACTAACGAATGGGAAAAATACGAAATTGAATTGGTGCAGAAAAGTCACAGGTCATAGTCACTAAGCCTAATTGGTAAAGTAAGAAGGTTAAACCAAGGTGGAAGGAGAAACAGAGGAAAATTAGTTACGGGGAAAAAAAGGGGGAGCAGGGGAAAGTGTAAATCTGAGAGCCGGTTGTTACCAAGGCAAGGATAAGGTAACCACATGCTCCAACTGTTTACATAGGTCAGGTTTTGAGCGTCTTATATAGGCTGCCTCCAGGTAGCGCAAGGTGCTAGTTGTTCGTGCTCATACAAGAACTCGGAATGAAGTTTTAGGGTCCACAGAATGACCCGTGTCCAGCA